AAAAAAAAAAGAAAACAATGGCAACTGTAACAACAACAAAAATAGCTGGGTGTTGTAGTGTGCACCTGTAGTCCCAGCTACTTGGGGGGCTGAGTAAAGAGAATCGCTTAAGCCCAACAGTTTGAGGTTACTGTGAGCTGTAAGGCCAAGGCACTCTACTGAAGGCAACATAGTGAAACTATGTCTCAAAAAAAAATAAGGAGGGGGCGCCTCCTGGGGCTCTAAGGGGTAGGGCACCGGCACCACATGCCTGAGGTGGTGGGTTCAAACCCAGCTCTGGCCAAAAACTGCCCCCAAAGAAAGAAAATCCCAAGGCTGAAAAAGTCCATTGGTTATAAGAGAGTATATTTGAAACATGAAAAATGATAGATAGGTTTCCATGAAACCTCAGCTCAAAGTCTGCCTGGGAGGTTCCCCAATGCAGGGACCCTTTGCCATTCCTGGGTGGGAAGCTGCCCTGCCCTGTGGACCCAGGAGCCAGCTGGTGTGTCACTATTACCCCTGGGGTCACATCCGCCTGCCTTACCACATCCCTTCTCCCACAATTGCAAGGTGGGGACGAGAGTTGGGTGGTCTTCGCCCATAGACCCACAGCCACCTTGAGTCAGAGCAGGGTAGGAGACGCAGTGACCCTAAGACTGGGCTGTGAAAACCCCCCAGGCCTGCCTGAAGAGCATGATCTATAGCCTGTGGACAAATCGTGTTGGCAGGAGCAGGGTGGGAGCTATGATGCCCCAACCTGCCAAGGGTCCTTGTGGTGACCAGAGCTGGGCTGGCTTTGCTATTCATAGCACATCACCTCCCTCTGAAATGTCTGTCACGGCCCTGTTAAGCTCTTGTCAAGACCCCCTCAGGGCCCCGCACCCTAGCTGACGCCTCCTGGCTTCCCTGTGGGACTGGATCTGCCTGGTGGTGAGGTGGGCCACGGGATCCCCCTGAAGGCAAGTGCAGGAGTGAAGAGGGTTACTGCCACAGGGCCCCATGAACCGGGGAGCCCACCCTGAGAGAACTATCTATGTCTCACCCAGCTCCCCTTTCAGCTCTGTCCCTGGCACTAAAGCCGGTCTGTTGCTCCCATGTGCCCTACTTCGACCACTGTGCATTTGGGCAGGGGAGGGTCACTGCTCCTGTGGGCCCAAGTAGGATGGAAGTCGCAGGGCCTGGAGCCCTCAGCATGTGACAAGGCCCCTGTGTGCCAGGGCAGTCAGCCCCACCTATGTGAGCTGAATCCCAGAACAGTTGGAGTCGGCGTGGCTGAGACTATTCTGTCCGAGGGTGGAAGCCTCAGCCACAGACCCCATGGAGTCCACTCCTACAGCCATACAGAGAAAACCCTGCCAAATTTAAGCACTCCCACCTCTGGCAGTAGGGGTTGCAGGGTCCAGCCTCTCAGGCGGAAAGGGCTCGCCATCACCAGGCGTCTTCCTGAGGCCTGAGCAGAAGGTGGTCCTGCCAGCAGAACACCTGATCTGGGTCCCCCGTGGCAGCACATTCATCACCCACTATGTGAGCAGGCTGGAATTGGGACTGGCTCAGATTCAATGTAACAGGCTGGCTTCATTCCCCCCTCAACAGCTCAAATCCATGGTGTTTCTGGAGTTGTTTGTTACTTTATTTAGCACATGCCTGTGTGTATTTGCATGCACATGTGTACGTGAGACAGGGACTCAACTGTGTGCAACCATGTGCATGGTGTGCAGGTGCACTGTTGTGTGTACATATGTGTGCAGGTGTGATACATACATATGTGTGTGCAGACAGGGCCCAAGCACCCCTGCAACCAGGCCCATGCACACTCCTGAGACCTCCAGGTTCCCCTGAGTCATGAGGAGTCTCAGCAGTACAGAAAGGGCTATAGATTGAATGCAAATCAGAAAGACCTTTTCTCAATCAGGAAACCCAGGAACACTGCATGGAGATTCCTGCCATGGAAGGAGCTAGTCAGGCTGGGAAGTGATACCATCATGCCCCTCCCTGCCAGGCAGGCGGGATGGTCCCTGCTGGAGGGCTGGCACCCAAATGCCATTGCCTGAGTGTCTCTTTCCTTGGCTTAAGCCTTTTGTGCCTTCACCTGTGGTTGTGGGGGCTTGGTGCAATACTCACTTCAGGTGGGGGAAATTCTAGGATGGGAGTCACTTTTTTTTGTTATTGTTGCAGTTTAGCTGGGGCCGGGTTTGAACCCGCCACCCTCGGTATATGGGGCTGGCGCCCTACTCACTGAGTCATAGGCGCCACCCAGGAGTCACTTTTTAGTTTCTAGTGGCTTGGCTGTGCTGGAGGGGCACACATCCTAGCTTAGATGTCCAGCCATTATTTCACATCCTAGCTTAGGTGTCCAGCCTGCTCCTGGCCACATCCACACACTCCGGGCTGCAACCCCAGCCAGGCTCCTCAAACCTCCAGCTCTTGTTGGGTGGTGGCACAAACATGCAAGCTCACTGAGGTGGTGGCCCTGGCACCACAGGCCTGGAGAGGGTCTGGAACCCAGAGCGTCTGGTGTGTGCATGTGGGTGTATACATGTGGGTCTATGTATGAGTGTGTACTGAATGTGAGTATGGGGGGATGTGGGGCTGTGTGTGAGAAAGTGTAGGTAGTTGGTTTGTGTGAATGTGGTTGCACACTGTGTGTGGATATATGTGAGAGTGTGTATGAGTAGGAGTGTGGGTGTGGGCATGTGTGTGTGAAACGTGTATGTGAAGTTATTTGCGTGAAGTGGACAGAAACATTGGAGCCTGCATGTGCCTGGGCATTGGTGTCTTAGTATGTAGGTGAATGCATGTGTGAGTCAGTGTATGTTGGCATGTGTCAATGTGTGGATGGGTGCGTGTGTACACACATGAAAATGTCATGCGTTAGGTGGGATATTGTATGCCCATGAGTGTATGATGGGTGTGTGTACACTGTGTGTGCAGGCAGACATCCTGATCACAGGTGAGCTCTCAGAGTCAGGAGGTGAGGCCAAAGTGGGGAGGCCTAGGCGGTCTGGCCATGCAGAGGGACCCACTAAGACAGGGTCAACTGGAGCCACACCTGGGCAGCTCTGACCACTGGGTTGTGAGCCTGTGGCATTGGAGTGTCACCAAGATCAATTGTCTCAGCCGGGCATGAGTTTTCTGGCTCCAGCCAAGCTTCTGAGAGGGGCTGTGCTCCCTGCTCCTTGAGCAGACACCTGCTCTGGGCAGCACGCAGCAGTTCCACCAGATGTCCCACAGCTCTTAAGTCCACCAACAGCCAGACAACGAGACTTTGCCCCAAACCCTTCCCCAGCATAACAGCAGCACTGCTGAGCCATTCTCAGAGAATTCCTCTCAGCACTGGGGTGCCCGGACAGGGCGGTGCTGCTGGGGTCACACCGGGCCTCTCTTGGCAGGAAAATGTATCTCTGGCCGACATCCTCTCCCTGCGGGACAGCGGCCTCAGTGAGCAGGAGGCCTGGGCCGTGTGCCTGGAGTGCAGCCTGTCCATGCGCAGTGTCGCACATGCAGCCATCTTCCAGACGCTGTGCATCACGCCTGACACCCTGGCCTTCAACACCAGCGGGAACGTGTGCTTCATGGAGCAGCTTAGCGGTGAGGCCGCGGGTGGGGCAGCTGCCAAAGAGCACAGGGCACGTGGGCTGGGCTGGGCTAGGTGGGAATTGCCAGGCTGCTCCTGCCTCACACCCTAAGGGGAAACGCCACTCCTAGTCCCCTGGGCCAGGCCTAGTGGCCCTGCAGGGCGTGGACGTGCCACCTCCAAGGTGAGGCTGGCCTGCCCCTGTGGGCAGCCTCAGTTTGCTTCTGGAAGCCCCAAAGTCCTGTGTGCTCCCACCTTGGAGCAGTTTCCCATGCTTACCATTGAGCTGCCTCAAATGCTTAAAACACCTGGGGGTCAGCCAGATCAGAAAGGGAGGACGAAGCTCCCGCTGGCCACGGTGTACTTCCTGGTGAGTGAATGGAAGCCTTCTCTTTCCTTCCTCAAGATGACCCCGAGGGCGCTTTTGTCCCCCCGGAGTTCGATGTGACCGGAAACACCTTTGAGGTAAGTGTGGCAGGTGGATATGCTGAGCCCCTTCAAGGTCACTTTGGGGTCCTTTCACCTTGCTGTTAACTCCAGAAAGGCGTAACCTACCACTGGGGCTGGGGCAGGGGGCTGTCACTGGGGCGCACCCACCTCTGTCCACCGCTGGGGTCATGCATGGGCAGCCCAGTGATGGCTCTGTGTTTGAGAGCAGTGGCTTTGGACATGTCTGTCATTATAATAACTTTACATTGTGACTTCTGGGATGCAGTTATACCACATGTAACATATCAAAAGTCCCTCAAATTACCAGTGATGATGGGCAGGCACCATGGTTCCTCTGAGGGGCTTGGCAGGTGTGTCTCTCTCAGTGCCCTGAGGAGACCTGCAGCCTCCAGGTGGCAAGTCCTGAGCTCTGGTGGCCGCCACCCTCACAGCTCCAGAGCCTGAGTCTTGAAGACTACCTGAAGTGACTGCTCCCAGGCACACTCCACCCACCCCAGGGCATAGCCCCAGGGCCACTGCATCAGAGCCACAGCTGCCCATATGGGCATCTGCTCAGCTGTGCCCAGCCCTCAGACTCAGACTCTGTCCATCTGAAGCTGCCTGTCCATCCATAAGGACCTGTCTGTCCATTGGGTAGAGAGAGAATGGCCCATCCACAGTGCCACCATCATGAAGCTCACAGTCCCATAGGATAGCAGAAAATATAAATCAAATGCTAACAGATAAATGTGCAGTGACAAACTCAGAACTCTTCCCAGGGAAGCCTTGGTGTCATTAGCTTAAATTTGACCTTGGAGTAAGAGTTGTGGGCCTGACCTCTGTGCTTACTTTCACTTAAGTGAGTGTGAGCTCACGCCCCAGAGACTGATGTCCAGCGCCCTGTCAGGTCTACAGAGCTGGAGCCCCACTGCTCAGCTTATTGGACCTCAAGGGTCTGAAATCCCAGCCCTCAAAACCCCTGGCTTGTGCCAGTTCTCACCTGGTTCATGCATGGATTCAACATTTAAATGCATTTCTGGGCCCATGACCCAGGCCAAACAGATGGCCAAGACCTCTTTCCACCCGTGCCCTGCCATGATGGGACCTAGCCTGTGTCTGCACCCCTTTTTGTTTTTATCTCACTGTTGTGTATCCTCAAAAGTGATACTATTTCAAGTGTGTGATTTTTAACTTTCCGAAAAGAGTACCAGGCTACATGTAGGCCTCTGGGAATCCCTTGACACGCTCACTGCCACAGGGATGATGTTCCGCTGGTGAAACACCACGTTCAACCCACCTGCTTGTCGTGGGTGCTGTCGCAGAGAGAGAGAGAGAGCCGTGTGTGTGTCCCCAGGTGTGTTCTGGCATGTGCACCAAGCACGTACTCCCCCAAGTTTCTCCTGGGCAATGGGTTCTTCAGATGCCCCCACCTGTGCACCACTGACAGGTGTGCGTGACCCCGTGGGTGTGGCAGGGTTGGGATCTGCCAGCAGGATACGCCAGGCTGTGTTTCTGCGCTGTGACGTGGGAGAAGGGCTGTCTTTGGTCAAGACCCATTTTCTAGTCAACTGGGCTTCCTTTGCTGGTGCAGAAACTCTCGTCCCTGTTGTCGGGTTCGGGAATGCCACCTCCAGTGTGGTCTTCCCAGTACTTTCTTTAAATAAGTGGTTTCCAAACTTTTTGGTTTCAGGACCCTTTTTCATTCCTAAAAATAGAGATCCCTCATGAGCTTTGGTTTATGTGGGTTCTATCTCTTAGTATTTACTATAAGAAAAAACTAAGAAATCAAAAGATATTTAACTATTAATTCATTTTAAAATTACAACAGTAATCCTGTTGTGTATTAACATAGCATATGTTATGAAAAATATTGTTTTTCCCCAAAAAATTCATGAGAAGAGTGGCATTGCTTTACATACTTTTTGTTTTTTCTTTTTTTGAAACAGAGTCTCACTATGTCGCTCTTGGTAGAGTGCTGTGGCATCACAGCTCACAGCAACCTCAAACTCTTGGGCTTAAGCGATTCTCTTGCCTCAGCCTCTCAAGTAGTTGGGACTACAGGGGCCCACCACAATGCCAGGCTATTTTTTGTTGTGGTTGTCATTGTTTAGCTGGCCTGGGCCTAGTTGGAACCCGCCAGCCTCAGTGTATGGGTCTGGCACCATAACCACTGTGCAACCGATGCTTAAGCCTGCTTTATATACTCGTAAATCTTCCTGATGTCTGGCTTAATGGAAAGCAGCTGGGTTTCCACAGCAGTGTCTGTGTTACTGTTCCATGACATCACACATCACTCTCTGCTGAGAGAGAACAAAGTGGACAGGCAAGTGACATCTCAGTGCTGTCGAGAGAGCCGTGCAACCTCTCAGACACACACTAGGAAAAGCCGCCTGCAGGTATCTATTGATGAAAAAGAGCTTCTCAATTTTAATTAGGCAAGTTGATTCGTGCTTCTTTCCTTGTCAGGGTTTTGTGTCTTCTTTTTTGAGACAGGAGCCTCAAGCTGTCCCCCTGGGTAGAGTGCCATGGCATCTCAGCTCACAGCAACCTCCAACTCCTGGGCTCAAGCGAGTCTCCTGCCTCAGCCTCCCAAGTAGCTGGGACCACAGGCGCCCACCACCACGCCCGGCTATTATTTGGTTGCAGCCGTCATTGTTGTTTGGCGGGCCCAGGTCTGGATTCGAACCCGCCACCTTGAGGGTACGTGGCTGGCGTCTTAGCCACTTGAGCCACAGGCGCCGAGCCAGGGTTTTGTGTCTTAAGAAACTTTCCCAATCTCAAGGTCCAACAGATATTCACTGACATTTCCCACCAAGCATTGTCAGTTTTTGCTTCACATTTGATCCACCTGAAGTTCATTTGACATTAAAAAAAAAAAAAAATTCAGCCAGGCTCAGTTGCTCACACCTGTAATCCCAGCACTCCAAGAGGTTGAGGCAGGAGGATCCCTTGAGCAAAGGAGTTCAAGACCAGCCCAAGCAAGAGCAAGACCCTGTCTCTATTAAAAATTTAAAATTAGCTGGATGTCCTGGTGTGTACCTGTGGTCCCAGCTACTCAAGAGGCTGAGGCAAGAGGATCACTTAAGTCCAGGAGTTTGAGGCTGCTCGGACTTGTCAGCACTCCAGCGTGGGTGACAGAACAAGACTCTGTATCAAAAAAATTTTTTTTACTAAGGAGTTTTAGAGTTTATTACATTTATTCTCAAGAATTTGATGTTTTCTGATTTTATTTTAAAATCAATAGTCTGGCTCGGTGCCTATGGCTCAAGTGGCTAAGGCGCCAGCCACATACACCTGAGCTGGCAGGTTCGAATCCCCAGCCTGGAACTGTCAAATAACAGAGAGCCCATGAGGCAGCCCTGGGCTCTGTGTGACGACAATGACGGCTGCAACCAAAAAATAGCCGGGTGTTGTGGCGGGTGCCTGTGGTCCCAGCAACTTGGGAGGTTGAGGCAGGAGACTCGCTTGAGCCCAGAAGTTAGAGGTTGCTGTGAGCTGTGATGCTATGGCACTCTACCCAGGGTGACAGCTTGAGGCTCTGTCTCAAAAAAATAAATAAATAAAATCAATAGTCTGCTTTTTAATTATATTTTCTGCTTGTTACTAGTCTATAGAAATACAATTCACTTTACCATCTTAATTTTATATCCCGCCATTCTTGCTGATTTTTTTTATTATTTCCAATAACTTGGAAATAATAGATTATAGATTCCTTTAGATTTCCTAGTCAAATCACTGGTAAAAATCTGGCCTCACCCCCCAGTGGTCGTGCTCACTTTCTCCGTTCCTCTCTCACCCTTTGGAGCCCCAGCTCCCAAGAAGCAGAAAGGCGTCCCAAGTGGGCACCACCTGGAGGAGTTACCCAGACCTAAAGAGTCCTTCCCACCTTCCGCCCCAGAGGGACGTTCATGGCCATGTGGTCCCTGTGCGGCTGAGCTTTTTGTGCTATGTATGTCGTCTCTAGGAAATGCTGCTTCTGCATCTTTTGAAGTGATTGCACTATTTTTTATTAAGATTTTAATATTTACATATTTATTTTCTATTATTAAATCACTCTTTCCTACTTAGAAAAGCTTAGACTGTCTAAGAGTCTTGTCTTTCTCACCCACTGTTACATTTACTAGTGCTCACTGTGGGCTTTGTGCGTGTTTTGAGCGGGGACTGGCCAGTTTTCTGTTCTGTGGACGTTTTGATGGGTGCCAGCCTGGGGCTTGTTCTAGCCCCATGTGAGCTCTTTCTTTCTCTGCCTTGTGTATATAAGTCTTTTCCTCAGAGTCTGCTGAAACTCATTTACAAAGCCATCTGTTTTCTTGGAGAAAAGATTTTTAATTACTGTTCAATTTTTTTCTTTTTTTACTGCTCAATTTTTAATAGTTACAGGGCTAATCTGCATTCCTTAGTCAGCTTTGGGTCTGAAGTCAGCGCTGTCTTCCCTTCTCTTTCTCCTTCTCCTTAGCTTTTCCAGAGCCCCGTCTGCCCTGTGACCGACCCTCCCGAACGCTGGTGTTTTCTCACTTCTCACCCTCCTTTCCCTGCACTGGTTTTCAGTAGCCCACTCAGCCCATTCGCTTTCTGCACCTTTTGCTTTCTGGCGCTGGCGTCAACACTTAGGCTATGGGTTCCCTGTCACACAGTTGGGAGTGTTCTGTGACTTTCCCTGTAGCGTCTACGTTATTATGTGCTTCTAAGTGTTTTTCATTTCTCCCAGGATTTCTTCTTTAGCTCTTGTGTTGTTTTGCAATGTCAATGGATTATTTTTTTTCTTGCTTTTATTGAGATATACACGTAGGAAATACGTCTGCACAACATGTGGCCTCATGAACCTTCTCAAATGCATTCAGGTCACTGAGAAGAGCAGCACTAGCCTCACGTGCCCCAGGGTGACACTCTCCAGACAAAGGGAGGTCCTGCTTTCTGCCTCCAGTGAACAGACTTGTGCAGCGCTGGTCCTGTGTCTGGCTCCTTCTGTGTAACATGTGTCACATTCACCATGCCATGTGTGACCATGGGTCCATCATGCCACGTGTGGCCTCAGG